CTCATTTGTGTTTGTAGCTCATTCTGCATGTCCACCATGTTTTGCATGCGCGTTTAGACCATACACAGCTGTGCTCCAGTGCCCCTTTTAATGTAAGTGGGCGCTGTAAAAGCCTCCAGCAGCAGTGGCAGAAGAAGCAGCTTTTGGCTGCTGTAGTTTGCCTACTTGCTGCCCACCAAAGTTCAGAGGCCTGTTTGAGTCATCACCCCAGAGCTTACGAACAGCAGCATCCCCTATGCTCCACTAATGACAGCATCATCATGCTGAAGATGAGCAGACATGGCCTTTATTTCCTCTCATTTAGACCAAGACATGGTGAGAGGAGTATTTTGATCGTAGTTAGTGCAGAGCTGACTGCAGGGTAACAGCATGATGGGGGCGTGAAAGTGAGCTGGGCCTCTAAATGGAGAATTGGCCCATTTTTTTCTGTAAATGAGAGACAGACGAACCATGCAAGACTTGTTTACAAACAAACATAATTTTGGTGGTTTTGGTTATGTAGATATGGACGTACTTGCTCTCTCTCCCATTTACCTCAACTAAAGCTTGTATGACTGATGCGTTCAAGCGTTGTCTCCTGTTTCACTGTGATCTCCAGCTGCACGTCAGCTCCACTTGCACGTCAGAGTTCACCTTTGTTCAGCTTTGGCCAAGGATGTGTGCAGTCAAGCAATTCATATAATATAATACATGGATGCACTGTATTTGGAAATAAAAGTCATTATTCTAGCGATGTGCCATCACATTGTTCGGTGCAGTATTACTCTACCAGAGTGAAGCGCTGCTCTCACAGTCTGTGGTCTCTCTGCTCAGTATTTATTATCCACAACTGAATAGTGACATTACATCCATTTGCAGTGTTGAGTGATGCACTCTTTCCTTGAACAGAAGGCTAAAGTGACCTTTCCTTCATACAATACCCAGAAGTTATTCAAGGTGCACCTTCACACCCCATTCGGACCTTTCCCCATCTTCCTGCCACATGGTCAAAATAAGGCACCATTTGTATGGTGGTAGTTTTCAGTTTCTGCCCTCACTGACAGACATGGTTGAAAATAGGCTTAATCATTTTCTGGTGACAAGCTTAAGTGAGATGATTGACACCACTGTCAAATCTGTCTAGCACAAAAACTGGAAACAGGAAAACACTAACCACCATCCACCAGCATGGCTCTGTCCTACCAGCACCTCTAAAGCCCACTAATTAACACGTATCACAAACATTGTTTAATCTACACAAAAAACGAAGTCTAAAAACAAAAATACATTGTATTAGGGGTTATACTGTATTTATGACTGTTTCTTGTCTGGACACAGTTGTTAGTCAACCAGTGGAGACTCTGTTTCCAGTCCAAGTAGTTCAGCACATATACCTGTTAAATAATGAATTGTTGTATTCACAATTTGGTTTTTGTACAGATTAAACAAATGACATATAACATGATGATTAGTGAGCTTAAGAGGTGCTGGTGCCTTTTGCAGAGCCAGCCAAAGTTTGTAGGGTTGTGTGCAAGTTAAGGCTGTCATTTGAATTGGTATCTCCCATGTTAGAATTAAAAATATCTATCATAAACACACTGTTGTTGTTTGACTCAGACTTTAACTAGAATAGTGTCTGTGTGCCTGCTTTCTTGTTGAGTTGTTTACCTGTATTCATGTGCCATAGCGTGCCTGTCTGCTGTAGGCCAGGAATTCCACAGAGAGCCAGTGAAACAGCAGGAGGCCAGAGGATCCAGGGGAAATGGTCATAAACCAGTGCCATTAGCCACAGCTATCAAACGTCTGCCTAATGTTCTCCTGTTCCCAGCACCAGTCCCTGCTTTCTTTACCCCGATCACCTTCTGTTCTTCAAATTGTTCAAGGTTACTCGTAAAGTGGTGTAGACGATTAATTAAAGCCAAAGACAAAAAAAAAAGCGTACTTTTTAGATGTTCCTTGTATGTGATTAATCATTTCCTGAAACAACAGTGTGTTTGTGTGGGGTCTAAAAGATAGATTATTGTGCCTGTAACAGGAAATGTAGCTTTCAATCCTGCAGCTCCATATGTAGCTTGCCTCTAACATCAATACACTCCCAAGGCGTTTCTTATGAACCAATGGCATTGTTTGAGTTTGGGTTTGGTTGTTGGTTGTACTGTAAAAGCAGTGTTTTCACTGGGTGTTATAAAGGGGACAGGATTTCCTCTGGACAGCCTGCACAGACCACCACGCCCCCGGGGCAACAAGAACACTTTTCTCACACATGCCTTGGTTTTCTGTTTCAAGTGGTGTAGACTCAGTGGGGTTTTTAGCAGCATCATGTGTTCATTCTGTAAATATGCAAAGGTTTGGGTACCAGACAGACCAAGTAACAAGCTCGACCCTCTGAAATTCCAGCTTGCATACTTGTCTCATGCACATGTCCGCCCACCTGCTGAGCCACTGTTGAACTTTCATGATGTCGCCCACACAGACTTGCCTTTTAGTGAATGGGTTATTTTGTGGTCAGTGGAATGAGTATTTACCACTTGTTAATTTTTTTTTTTTTTTCAGATTATGCCTCAAACTTGTGGAGGGAATTATGTCTTTGTATTTTCCCTAGAAGACATTGTTCCTTTTTAAACCTCAGTAAACATCTCCACAGACCAATGCAGAGAATGGTGTTATGGGTAACCATAGGTCGCAGAGGCTCATAGAGGAGCTGATGTGCACACTTTCCAAATCTCAGCAACGTGTTGTGTGGGTCTGCGTGTAAAGCAAGCAGTTGAATCAGCTCCTGTCGGGACTTGGGTTCTAAACGGAGATGAAAACAAATTTAAACGTACAACATACAAATTTAAAAGAAACCTGTACATAAGCGTATCTTAGCGACGCTCGTGCTCTGTCGCCTACATGTAGCCTGGAGAAGTATAATTGTGGTTGAACACAAGTCACAGTCCTGCCGATGGTTTCACACTATTCCAGCAATCAATAGGTGGTTTTATGATGAATTAGCATTTGTCACGGATACGCACAATGAGTTTTGGTGAAAAACACTCAATGTATGCATAACTTGTTTGTTAACAAGACAAATCCCTAGCGCACCTTTTAAACATAAGTTTGCCTTATTTGCTCGTCTGTTTTGCAAGTGCGGGCTTTATTAATTATGACTGTATGATGTTTATTGTATGTTTATTGCACTAATAGAGCCTTCAGACTGAAATTGGTGCTCTCCGTGTGCTTCAGGTACGTCCATGACAATAAAATGCAATCCAGGAAGTTCGATTTAAAAATATGAATGATTTTGAAGGCTTATCCAACACCATAACAATGTACAGCAGTGTGTGTCCTTTGCTGTTACCTTTCAACGGAGACGAACAGGATTTTACAACTGGAAAGAGATCAAAGTGACAATTTTGTAACCTCTGTTGTGACGGTTTCCAGGTTAACTACAGAATTACCTTGTCCATGTTGCAAAGTAATTTTCAAGAATTGTATCCTTGTACATATGGGACTGACCAATGTATTGCCAGATGATATTACATGTAAGATGTTTCATTTAATTGCCTTTCTTTGCAGGAGTCTTTTTACCATAGCCTCACTGAAATGAACGGGGGGGTTTTGTTTATTGATGCAGTACTGTTGTCTGTCTCAACATAGCCTAACAGTGTCCCATTATTTGTTGACATATGGACAGTGTCAAAACATGGGGTGTATGACAGCTATCCGCCCTCCAAAAAAAAAACCCCACTCCAGATCACCCAAGTGTTCACTAATGATGATACACGCCCCTGCTAATTTTCCAAATGAAGACCTCCTATCTCATACAGTCCCTTGCTTATAGTCCACCTTTCTTTGTGAGAGACCTGTGATCAGCAGAGTCCTGAGTGATGTGACGCTGTTCTGCTTACTCAGGTAGAAATTCCCCTTGAGGATGTGCTCTAATTGAATGGCCTCCCTCCAGAGTGGCTGCACCACTGGAGCATATTCCTGCTCTGAGTGCTGGCCTTCACACTCGAGCTCTGCTCATGACTCAGAGTGAGGCATGAATCCATTTGTCTGATCAGTGATGGATAGGTACAGAAGAACATTAAGTCATGTCATGTGTCATGAAAGCAGATGTGCAAACGTACACATGTAAAAGTCCTAGACCCAACACTCGGAGGATGGAAGACAAAGGACTGAGATTTTAAAATAGTTGGTAATTATAACTGAGTAAGGCCAAGGCATATAGTATATTTACAGAAATAAATGAGCCTTTAAAGCTCATTTATTTCTTCTCTTTTTGAGTGAGGAAGTGCGAGACAAAATGTTGGCCACTGGCATAATTGAGCACAGCAGTGAGAAAAAGCAAGTCCCCAGCTCCTAGCAAGCACTGAATTAGTGACAAATTAAAGGAGCCTCTCACCGTCTTTTTCCATTCCTCCTTCTTCACCTGCTCCTCTTTCACTTCGCAGTAGATGAGCTGCTACGCTTTGGTCTTCCTTCCCTCAACCATGTCAATGATTGAGGCACTAATTCATCACTGCTTTACTGTTTGTCTACAGTCTTTTTGTTTGTAGTTTTTTTTTCCACTTGCTATTTTTCTCCTCACTCTCAAAGATGTATTCTGTGAGCTCTATAGGCTGTTTTAGCAGTAATTACCTTGAACTTGATGTGGTCTGACCTCTGCATGAGCTTTTATCCTACACAGCTAATGTGTAAAAACAAAAAGATTTATTAATTAATTATTAATTATTTTATTATTAATTAATTTATAAAAGTGTTGGACAGTTTTCTCAGAAAAATGTAGGGGACATAAAAGGCCAAATGTGTGTTTAAATATCCAAATATTTGACTTGTTAAGAGCCTAAGCTTTATTACAGTCATTATATCCCCACATCTTTGTCTGCTCCACAACAAAAATTAAATGCAGTGTAACCTCCTGTCATAGATCAACTGGTAACCCCAGTATTCAGTGTTTTCGTGTGCTAGATGAGCAATGAAGCAAAACAGATTCCTTAAAATGGACAACTCATCCAACATTCATCCTCTCTCTGCAGGTGCCCTTACAGTTGGTCTAGTCCGGCAATGTCAGACCATCCATGGACGAGACCGAACCTGTATCCCACCGCGGCTGCCCCCGGAGTGGGTCACCACACTTTTCTTCATCATCATGGGCATCATCTCCCTCACGGTCACCTGTGGACTGCTGGTGGCATCACACTGGCGCAGAGAAGCCACCAAATACGCCCGCTGGATTGCCTTCACTGGCAGTAAGTGAACAAGACAGTGACATTCACACCGAATGAAACAGTTTTGCTTTAGCAGACTTGCCCTCAGCGAGCTTCACCAGGAGCTTTCTCACTTTCTTCTCTGTCTCACTGCATCTGTCATGAAATAACCTTTAGAAAATCACCTATGCTACATTATTAGATTCATGCACATAGTCTCTTAAGGGCAGGAAATAATGAAAGGAGAAGAGTTGAGGTTGGATCAGTGTGAAAAATCGGTTTTATCCCAGTTATGCACTGCTAATTTGCAAGTGTAGATGATATGTGTGACGTCAAATACATCTGAGGCTATGCACAGGACAAGCGTGCGTTTGTGTTTCTGAGAGTGACGTGAGGACCGTGGGTGTGTGTGTGCCTGGTTGTGTTTGCACATTTATAACTGTTGTTTTTTTTTTTTTTTGCATATTTGATGAATCCTCTTGCTCCCTGAAACTGATATATTGAGTAATGCAGCTCATCTGGTACCTGAGTGGGTGGCTTATATGCCACAGCGTTTTCTCTCCCTCTTTGCCTTGAACATCGCTGCTCGTTTTTTTATTTTCCAAACACGTTTGCTGTATAGATGCACTTCCAGGACTTGATAATAACTCAGCACCCATCTCGTGAGGCTGAACTGGTTTCATAAGGCTGTGTGGGAGGGTGGAGTTTGATTGGTTAGTTAAAGGAGTAGACGGCCTCGAGCACACTCACAGAGATGGAAGAGTGGCATGTGAAGCCACAATGCTCTATACTGTTTTATTGTTTGAAGGCTGAGTGCATTTTTCATGACACTGTGACTTCTTTGTTCTGCATAGGAAAAGTAACCCATGGATTTAAACAAGCACACAAATTTTTGCCTGCCCGACCAAATGCATATTCATAATTAGGTTTTGTAATTCTTCTTAATCACTTGCAAATATGCAATGAATCACCACTTTACAGAGTCCCCAACCCCTCCACAAACTGTCTGTCCGGTAAGCTCAAATCTGTGTCACCAGCTAAATTAGAAAGGCATTGAGTCATTGTTTAACGATCACACTCAAAGGAAAGTAAGGAGGTTTCCATGGCAACTGTGAACAATTGTCACCCTTGTCTCCCTCCTAAGCTTCTGTTGGCCATATTAGACAAGAGGTATATTATTAGTACAGATTTTTTTTCTTTTAAACTGGTTTAAAGCATGATGATGATTTGAATAAGGAAATAAGACTTGAGGGAGGAAAAGACTTGTGACAGATACAGTGGCTTCAGAAAGTATTCAGACCCCTTCACTTTTTATACAGTGTGATGTAGGTTTAATTTTTAATGGGCAGAGATCTATTAGAGATGTTCCGATCACATTTCTTTCCTTACAGATACTGATACCCGTGTATTGGCTGATACCATGTACCAATCAATACCAATGCATTAAAAAAAATTTAACAGCTTTATACTACAAACTGTACGGATGGGCTGATTTCTGTCATTGTTGTATGACATGGCTCTGCTTAAACCCTTTGTAAAGCATGAACAAAAATACATAAATGCCATAGAATATCTATATATATCTTAGATTGCAGTGGAAACTGCTCGTAGTGATCGCAGTTAGTGATTTACTGCTTATATGAATGAAAAAGCGTGGGACAGAATCATTCCTATATAAATGCAGTTTAAATATTTAGCTTATTGAAATCAAGTAGTTCACTTACGGTGTTTATTTTGGGTCTTTTCATACTTGACAACAAATGAAAAAAGCAAGCTATCATATGCTGAGTCTCTCCAACTTACCTCTCGTCACAACGATTTGCCTGAGTAGCATCGTGTCACATCTCCAGTGCCGTAAAGGCTAAAAAAGCTGCGTTGGTTAAAACAGAAAAACTCTGTTAAAATGTAATAATCGTCAATAATTTATAAATTATACTGCCGGTTCCGGATAGGACAGCATTTTGGTCTGGACCCAGACCTCAGTCTGCCTATTAGTGGACCGCCAACGGCTAATGTTATGCTATTTACCAGAAATCAGTTCTTCTTCACCGCTCTGTAACAGAAGCTGCCAGTGGCTGCGCAGCTCAACTCCCTGTGTAGGCCGCTGATTTAGAATGACAAAGATGAATTGATTTCCAGAAAAAAGTGCTGTTTTATGTGGGTGTGAAACTATAAAGTTTATCAATACATTATGTGGTATTGGCTTGGTGCATAGACTCGCAGTTTCTCAATCCAGTATTTTAGGCAGTATTGACAAAGAATTGATCAAGACATAGTTTAAAACCATTTCTAAAGGTCTCCATTACTGTCAAATGGAAGAAGTTTGGAACCACCAGGAGTCTTCCTAGAGTTGGCCATCTGCTCAAACTGAATAACTGAGCAATAAGGCTGGTCAGGCTGGTCTCTCTGACTGAACTTCAGAAGATGGAAGAACCTGTCGGAAGGATGACAATCTCACCCGTACTCTATTAATCAGACATTATGGCAGAGAGGTGAACGGAGGCATAAAACAGCCTGTTTGGAGATTGCCAAACAGCATTTAAACAACTCTGAGAGCATGAGTCCTTTAAATCATGCGTCCCATCCAATCTCACAGAGCTTGAGAGAATCTGTCATGAAATGTAGGAAAAAATGCCTAAATCCAGGTGTGCAAAGCTTGTCGGACTTACCCAAGAAGACCCAAAGGTGCTGCCAACGTAGTGATTTAATGATCAGAATACTTTTGTAAAGTTTTCACTTTGTCATTATGGGTTTTTGAGTATGGCCTTTTCACATTCTTTCTGTTCAGGACTCCATTAGCTGGCACATTAGCGACTGATGGTCTTCCTGGGATACTCTTGTATCTCAAGAGCTTGTTTCAAGTGGAGGAGAGTGACAAAAAGGCAGAAAAGAGACATGGCTGAGGCTTTTTTTCCCTCTGATGTTGCTGAACTTCAGCTGTGATGGCAAACATTTCCCTGCTGTATGGGGGGGAGAGGGTGAGAGGTTAAGTGAGGAAGAGGAAGAAGTGTTGAGTAAAGGAGATGAGCTGAATGAATAATCATGTTTGTAGAGGTCAAGAGCTGTTAAGGGTGTTAGTGAGAGGTGGATGCCAATGTAAAGACACAAATGGAAGGGGAGAGAGGACGAGTAGAGTGAAGCTGCTAGCAAGGAGACGGGGGGATGGTTCATTCGGGGCAAACAGGTGATGAGGGTTGAGAGGAGGTGGGTAGGCTGTAGTGTAACTGGCTCTAGGCCACCGGCACCTGAATGGACAGCTTTGTATGACCAGCACAGGCCCGCCTCTGTGTCTGTATATACACGCACCAGCAGTGTTTCCCCAAGGTGTGACGGTCAACTGTGGGGGTGGGGTGGGACTGAAGTAATAAATAAAATATATTAACAATACATTAACAGGATATGCAAAAAAAATGTTGCTTCACTATTCATGCACACAAATACAGCAGGAAAAATGTAAGAAATAAATCTATAATACAGTGTATTTACATGTAAAGAGATTTTATTTCAAATAGTTTTGAGCCTTTTTCCCTGAAAGTTTGTGTGTATGCCTGTTAATCACTGAAAATGTTAATAACTCAGAATTTTAAAAGATTCTTTTCAAAAGATATTTCTGGTTTACAGACATAAATGAGATCCTGTGTGAAAGGCACACATCAACACTTTCAGATGGCTTTCTCAGCTCGTGTACATGATACATCAATAAAGTTATGTTACTATAGATAAAACATTTTCCTTGTATTCACTGATGAACAGGTGGAGTCCAGGGGGGTTGATATTACATAAAAAAATAAAGATAGCAATATATTTAAAGCACACATGTGTAATTTTGTCATAATTTTACCCATATTAAAGGTAAATTTCAAGATATTATGCATTTCTGTTGTTGAATTTCTACGGCTCCGCACACTGTCTGGGATGTAATGGTAACTGAAAAAAGTGTGTTTTCTTTTTGGAGGTTTCTATAAACAAAGTAAAGAAACTGAAGAAATGAAAAGCAGAGTGAGAGGCTACCTCCTAAATGGTCTGTTTGGGGCTGATATTTATCATAAATGATCTTTTTTGAAATCTCTAATGAACTATTAGTCAATATTAATTCCTTTTTTACACAAACACAAAACATAAACCTGTGGGTCTCAAACATGGAGATGGGCGCCCATGAGGCCTCAAACCTATTACAGGGTGGATGAATACAGATAATAAAAGAAAATGGGTGATATTAATTGAGCAAACAGTCATATCCAAAACAATATGAACTATCTTAGTCTGGACTACTCCATAGATATGCTGCAGGAGATTTGTGTCTTTTGTATCTAAAATTTCAATTTAACTTTCATTTCCATTTTTACATTAATTTGTTAGTGGTTCTCTAACTTTTTTTTTAACTTTCGTGCTACTCTTTCACCAAATGACATAAACAAACATTGTTGATTACAATAATATATGTACTAAGCAGGATGCTTTACAGTAGAAAAAAAAAATGTCAGTGCTCTTTGGTTGAAAAGCTCTGTAACGATGTTACTGTTCTACAATGCCATCTTTACTGTTACTGTCATGGTTGTTGTTAAGGATGCCAGTCCATATTAAACATGTTCATTAGATAACTGTGTCAGGAATTACGTGACGTGTGAAGATGACTGTATTAGAGATAATACAACAGTGAAACACTCCTGTGTAACATCACCTGTTGTCCTTGTCGAACTGCTCATCATTGCACTACACTACATGAGTTACAGCAGCTCTGTTACTCAACTTTATGACTCGATTTAACTTTTCACAGTAAACATGACATTAAACGTTATTTAAAAGCGCTGCAGCATAATTTCATTATTGATTAATCGGCTGATTATATTTTTGATTTATCAATTAATTGTTTGGTCTATAAAATGCAATAAAATAAAATAAAAATCTTAAGTTTTTTACAATCATTTTCTTAAAGCCTAAAGTTACATCTTCGAATCACTTGTTTTTCAACCAGCAGACCAGAACACAAAAATCTTCAGTTTACCTGCAAAGAAAATAAAGAAAAGCAGCAAATCCTCACATTTGAGAAGCTGGAACCAGACGGTGTTTGACATTTTGCATGAAAAAGGATAAATAGTCAGAATAGACTATAAACTAATGGATTGATCGACGACTTGTTGCAGCTCTGTTATTTAAACACAAAAGTAATTCCTGTACTATATAGTGGTAACTGTGAGTTTATCAGCAAAGTTTCTGTAGTTTCATTGTCAGCAGCTGAGCAAGGCACCATGTGTCATCAATTTAGGGACTTAAGACAAGCAGTGGACCATGAGGTGCACTTCAATTAACTCACTGGTGAAGCTTTCAGGAATAATGCTGAGCCACGGATTTCTGGCTCCATCGTAGTTTATCTTTCACCACATCCTTTTGCAGTCATACCCACTCACAGATAAACGCATGGCCAGGGCAATGAGCAGGCAAAAGGACAGACAGAAAAATTACCCAGCGTCTGTGCCTCGTGATGTAGGTCTGCCAGAAAGTGTTCATTAATGCTTGCTGGACAGGAGACATTAGAATCAGAGTCATGTCTCACACTGGCTGTTCAAGGACTGTTTCTGAACATACTTCTGTTTTCATTTTAAACGCCACGTCTGAACAGGGTCTAAGTCACCAAGTGACCGTCAAACTACAGCGCAGTAAAAGGTGAACCCAGATAACTCTTCTGTGATACTAACATGTGAAAGCAGATTTCATTTTCAAGATTCAGCATTCAGAACACTTTAGAGTGTGTGTATGTCCTGATTAGAGGAGGTAAAGAGAGCAGCAGGCTTGGCTGCAGAGAGGGCCGGGGCGTACTGTCTTGACAGATATCACATACACCGCATACCGCGCTGTTAAGCAATCCTACATCATGGCAGGGGAAATTCATTCACCGCGGCGGTCCTTGTACTGTTGCCATATTGGATTTTTATATGATTTTTGCATTAATCGTCTAAAAAAAATAAATAAAGCATTATGATTTGTGAGGAATTAAAATTGCTAGATTAACCAAAAACAACCATTCCTCTCTGGATATTTTATCACTTTTATAATTTCTTACTATAATATAGGATTTCATCCATCTCTCCCACCCCTTATGAAATATTTAATCCCTGGTCTAAATTATAGACATTGATTGCCAAGATTAGAAAGATACAAGATACAGGAAGAAAATGTTTTTTTATGCCCAGTATCCAGATTGCTGTACTACTGCAGACTCTTAAAGCTGTTAACAGCAACAACCCACAGGTACTGAACAGCTCTGTAAATTGGCAAAATGTATTGAAGAATGAAAGCTAAAAATGCCTTCATCAGCTCTCACCAAATGGCTTACACTCAGATGAGATAACCAAAATAATTAAACGCAGCCTCAGTTAATGTTAAAGAGCTGTCATACTTTGTGTTAGAACACGTGTAATTCTGCTTAGAACAAAGGTAGTTGGCATTTAGAGTTTATGTAGCACACACTAGTAACATAACAGATCAGTGCTGCTTTATGAATGCATTTTCCCCTTCTGCACGTCCCCTGCTGCAGACAAGCAGTCCAGGACATAATGCTGGTCTAAAGCGGAATAAAGAGAGTTTGCGCTCTTTAATCAAAGAACAAGAGCTATTTTTAATTAGGTAAAGCTATTCCACGAATTCAGCACAGTGATTGATCTGTGATTCACAAAAGTCTCACAGTTTGCTTTGCAGTTTAACGTCACTGAGCGTTACATAAGTGGACTCAGAGCTGAACTAAAGCCTTCTGAAATAACATCTTCAAAGGAAACAGAACACAGCCATTTTAATTAGTGACAACTTTGTTATCCAATCACAGACTTCATAATGACTTCCCCCTTGACCTCTGCTTTATTCTGCAGCTGCTAACAAACCCGACACGCCGAGCAAGAAACATCTCAAAATGTTTTTTTTTTTTTTTTTTTTTTTTTTAGAGGGGTGTCTATTATGACTGTAATGATTCTCAGCATGTGGTCAGCACACCAAGCTAATTGATCCCACTGGGTTTGATACAGATTTCAGAGCTCACAAGTCAGCACGTTAATCAGAGTTTACGTGAGCTGCAATAACGTACTAACTATATATCCGTGTATACATGCACAATGGCCCCTACTTTATTTTGGAACAATATCTTTCTTATTTTAAGTGTATTAGTGACATATGATGCTGCTCCCTGATATTTTTTGTGTGTATATCTGAAGGCTGACGAGCACTGTAGTGAGGGCACAGCTTTTTTGTTACAGTGCAAAATTTTTTAATTTTTTTTTTTTTTTTTTTTTTTTTTTGCAAATTTACATTTAAGTTTAAGAAAGGGGAACTGCACTGACTTTGCACATCAAAGTCTGGTCACAGGTTTTGGTGAGTACAACAGCATATGTGAAAAAAGTTGTAAGAAGTCTTTGGCAGCAGTTGGGGATGAAGAATACAAGTCTGAAAATGAAACTAATCTGGGTGTGTGATGTTAGAAAGACCTCTGGAGCCCACTCCTCACCTCTGCTTGAGGGTAGCGACTCAAGGCTATAAGCCGTTACAAGCGTAACACACCTGAATCTCTGACCAAACTGCAACAGTTGAGTTGCATTGCGGGTAATGTAGGTGCCAGGTTTTGACAAGGAAGAAGAATGTGTGGAATGAAGAAGGCAATATCTCTGGGGGAAAAAAAGTATCAAAATTGATGCAGCAGAACCAAACTGTCATGAGTACAAGGGGTGCAAAACTACCAGGCTTTTATAATTCTATACTCTGATTATGGAAAGTTCTTGTAAATTCTTGTAATCTCATTGCTAAGAATGTGCTGGGTGAGGCAGTTATGATGCAATTTGTGACCTGAATGAATTGATTCCATTAGTGCCAGTGTTTGTTGACACTCTAAAATTTGTGTCGCTGACGGAGCTTCATTCAGCTTTAATGATGGTCTTGCCTCAGTCTTCTCACAAAAATCATTCAAATAAATCTGTTTCAGTCAGACACAGTTCAAACAAACACAACTTCACAAATTCACATTAGGTTTGTATAACCCTTCTGTCTCATGACGTAAAGGTGCTGTCAGTAAATTAGGTGACATCTAGTGGCAGCCGTAGGAAATTTAAAAAAAATCCGCTTCTTTCACTGCCCCTAGTGCCTGTTTAGAAAGCGTGAAATATGATTATTGTTTTGAGCCTTTAAGCTTAAATATGAACTTTATTTTACAAACTTCATAGGTTAAATTAAATCTCCTGCCTGAGGTTGGCTTTTTAAAGATGTGACTAAACATTTGACTGTGGAGGAATTCTGCCTTCAAGTGGTATCAGAAAAATCGAATTTAAAGTTGGAAATACTTTAACAAGCCAACAGAATGGCAAACATAGCATGCGAATGGGGAATTTTCTGTGATATCTGACTTGTAGAGAAAGGTGCGGAAGATGGTCTAGAAACCGTTATTCATTGAATCGGATAGAGCGTATGGGCAGAATCTGAGCATAACATTAGGAAACACTACTAGCAGGTTCATAGTAGCAAACAATGGGTATTTTGATGCTGTTTATGGGTTTTGTCTGAATCTTATAAGCTAACAAATTTATTGTTAATTTCCCTACAAACTGTGTAACTCTGTGCTAAGTGTCATCTCAGGTAGAAACACAGTGACAAATGCATGTGAAAAACTCAAAATAACTAAATTTCTACTTCAGATGTCTCCATTTTCATCTGACACAACAACCACTTTGTGGTAACATGTGGCACACATAACGTTCGTTATTATCTACAGGAGACAATTAAATCTGCTATTGATAGTAGAAAGTCTGCAGCTCTGTCAGCAGACCTTGATGTGAGATGTTGGGTTTCCCCAATTTCTGCCTTCTGCTGCCGTGTTGATTATAAACTGAATGTTGAAATCTTACAAAATTAAACTATCCACAATGATTTGAGTAATAGTTGATTTTAATCTCCATTGTTGTAAAATGACCTGTGAGCTTGTTATATCTGCACAAAGCCAGATTTTGGTTTGGTTGAACTACTCATATTTTTTGCTTGGACTCTAGTTTCTGGTTTCTGTACATTTGTAAGAATAGTATATAATCTATGACATCTAACTGATATTTAAATAGATTTTTAGACATTAATGTTACATAAATGCCATTTAATAGCGCTCTTGATGTCTCTCCCCCCACCCCCCCCCACCCCCTTCATCTTTCTAAAAAACATGAGGCACAGTCACGCAGATCTCAGTGCATGCCATGAGTCTGCTTTGTGTAATTGCTCCTTCAAAGCCATCTGAAAGGCACTATTGTATCTCGCTAATGAAGTTGCTAAAATTGAATTCAATTTGAGCAGCCTGTGCTTCCTGCTCAAGTTGAGTGAGTTTATGCTTAATTGTCTGCATCTTGTGTGGAGAACAAAGACTAAAACAAAGGCTGAGGTCAGACTTTTTGTGTCATGTATCCCATTTTTTTTTTTGATCTTTCCTGAAGTCCCCCTTTTTAGCATTTATTAGCACCGCATATACATTTAATAACTGGTTTGTATAAACGTATAATGCAGTTATTAGTAGATGGGTATTAATTAATGCACACGATGATGCATATTTTATAACATTTGTGTTTTACTATATTGTCATTCATTATTTGTTTATATACCAGTTTCCACTTATGTTGTGGACAACTAAAATAATTGTATTGTATATTTGTTCACAACTACATTATTGTGTATTACAAACATTTTTAACCATTTATATAATAATCACAAATTCTAGATAAAGCAAATTTAATGTAGATTGTTTCCCCTTACAAACATCTGAACTTATAATCGATGTGATGTGGTTAACATATAGGATTTAGACACATGAAGAGAGTAAAGTTGTAGTCAGTAAAGTCTGTACACATTCATCTTTATGTGTAAACAGTAAACTAACATTTTCTCTCTTGCTCTTTCCTTCCAGTGATCCTCTTCTGCATGGCGGCACTCATCTTCCCCATAGGCTTCTATATCAACGAAGTGGGAGGTCAGCCGTACAAGCTGCCCAACAACACAGTGGTCGGCTCCTCGTACGTGCTGTTTGTCCTCTCCATCTTCTTCACCATAGTGGGACTGCTGTTTGCAGGCAAAGTTTGCCTCCCAGGCTGAGGACTCGACTGTGCCGCCTCTGGACTGACACAAGAGGCTCTGAAAATTTTATGGGATTTACTAAAACACACAATGACTGAATATTAAAAAACAACAAACTCTGGCCAGAAGCCTGAAACAGGGAAGCCTCAGCTTATGTGTCAAGGGACCGCAGCACCATGGAGTACCTAACTACTAAAAGATGAAAACGAATAAATGAACAAAACACTAAAGGGGGACACGGGCACAAAGGGTTGTAGGAGTGTGAGAGAGGGCAGCTGAGGCTGTCGCAACACCCTGCCACTGTTGATTTAAAATATGGCCGTCTCTCTGTTGTTGTTCTGGAAAGGGTGCTTAATGTGCCGCTGTCATGGCAACCAGGGCCACAATGCTGGCGCACATTTCTTGAGGACCACTACAGCCACTCCTCGACTTGACTCCCAGCCGCCCGCCCGCCGCCCTCAGCACACATCTGCACCGTCACGACCGCTCCTGTTGCTATTTTTGGCTTCTCTTAGCTATTTCAGTTGTGTGTTTTTCTGTTGTTGTACATTTTGTGTTCTTATGTTTGTTTTTTTTTCCTTGCACCCCCCGCCGCCTTTCCACTGAAGTAGTTTGAGTGTAATTGAGGTTCACTGAACTAAACCCTTGAAGGATATGGGGGGTGGGAGGGGGGGGGTTGGCTTTAGAGATAGGGTTGATTCTCGCCTGGCGCACCACACGGCCCCAGGTGTGTGGTTGGGGGAGAGCAGCTGTGATCCCAGCTGTCTGGGCCAACACACAGGCTACTGTTGACAAGAGGCTGGTGCAGGTGTGCCGCCTCTTTGTCTCCAACCAGCTCCAGTTCAGGAGCAGGTAGCAACGAGGGGTGACCTCCGCGGGCAACAGAACGGGAAGTCGAATACCATAAAGGAGAATGCCACTCAATGTAAGACCTTGCATAATGTTATTTATGTGGACAGCAATAAAGTATCAATGAGTGTAGACAGCTGGTTTGCTAAGTTAAACCCAGGACACTAATGCACATCTTTTGCCAATAACTAGAAGACTGTGAATTTAGAGAATGATCATCTGAACATGAACACACAGCTCTTGTATTTGTAGTAATAATCTTAATCCTGTTAAGTGCAGCCACAAGCTCAGTGACTTTCAAAGTATTTTTCAAAGATGTACATCACTGTGGTGTTACATTTTTGAGGGGTTAAGATGAACTCATATCTTGCTAATTACAGTAGACAATATTGACTTTTATGAATAGAAGATGAAGTTGTGTATGGTGTAAAAATAACATGTGAATGCTGAAAATTGGTGGTATTCTCCTTTAATGTTAGACAGGAAAGAAATGAGCCAGGAGCATTTGTTTTTGTCTTGTTTTGTACGACAGTGAAGGCACTGGGACTGCAGGTCAGGTCCATGCATGGGGCTGTGCCTCAGTGTGCTGCTCTTGAGGCCTGTGAACGAAACACACACAGACACACACATATTTGAACACGTTACCACCACGCTGTTGGTACTGTGTAGATCCACACGTTAGGACTGCAACAGTTATTTTCTTTATCTCTTAATGTGCCAATTATTTTCTGTTAATTGTTTACTAATAATCAAAATACCTGTTAAAATGTTCCGCAGCCGAAGGTGATCTATCAGGATAGAAGATAGAATAAATTCTCACATTTTGAAGCTGGAACCAGAAAATGTATGTTTTTGCTTTGGAAATGTCTAAAATGATTAGATTGATTTATTTTCTGGATTCAATGCTCTAATAACGCTCTAATAACGCTCTAATAACGCTCTAATAACGCTCTAATAAATGTTTAAAAAGTGAAAAAATTGCCCATTACAAGTTTGTAGAGGCCTAGGTAATGTACTTAAATTCCATATGTTTTCCAGTTTCTAATTTTCTAAGACCAGTTTAAATTTTACAATACACACAGCGAGGTGCAGACCAGCGTGAGCTTCAGGCAAGTGCAGTAAAATTAAAACACATCACTCAACTCTTCTCCTGTGCACCACGCTTTATTCAGCTTACCAGACATTTTTGGCCCTCTTGCCTCCATCAGCATTGTGTGTGGTTTTTAGACGATAACAAAATTTACAGGAGAATTTTAAATGACCATAAATGCAAAACATAATATTACAACCATCATTTCAGAATACTCTAGTGCAAATATAATTAATTGGTCAAGCTGAATATTGACATATTTCTATCAGAGCTTTTCAGTCTTTGTTGGACGTAAAGAGGAAATATGATATTGCTATGTTTACATTTTGACAAAGTGACTTCCTTAAAAGTTTGCCGAATTAGCTATTACCACTCCCTGTTTGCAATGTACATGCATGTGTGTACAGACGGCTATCACTGGATTATTTTGATACTGACGGAAACCTAAAGATTTGATGATCCTTAGGCAAGTTCTGTCTTGAGTAATAAGCGGCGTCTTTTCATGGACGTTAATTCACTGTGGACTAAGAATCTAAAATATGTGCTTCCTGTCTGTGTGTTCAGATTTGACTGAGTTATAACTCTGAGAAGGAGTACGACTTTCTCATTTCATATCAGAACTCATTACACACTGTACTGAAATATCTTCCATCTCTGAAATTAGGTTATCCATATATATCCAAAGTCCATTTACAGTTGACCCTGATTCAGCTAAGTTGTTCGCAGTTGTAACAAGAAAAGCTGCAACTAATGATTATTTTCATTATCATTTAATCTTCCGGTTATTTTCTCAATCAATTACTTGCTTTCATAAAAATAAAAAAAATTTTTAAAAAAAAGTTTCCAATACCCAAAAGTATTCAGTTTGGTGTCATGTACAACATATACATGCATCAAGTCCTCACATTTAAGAAGCTGTACATTTTTGGCAATTTTACTGAAACCACTTGTTACAGCTCCAGTCACCAGGACCAGTTCATAACCCAAAAATGTATAACTTAGTATCATGTTCAAGACAGAAAAACAACAAACCAGTCAGTGTTTGTCATTTCTGCTTAAAAGATAAATTATCAATTGATTATCAGTGTTTCAGCTCTTCCACATATTTATACGATAAATCTCACTATTAAGCTCATACTGAAGATGTTTACGCTCTACTGACACTCAGATCCCTCCTAAAAAGTGTGTGTGTGTGTGTGTCTGTGTGTGTTGAGTCAGTCACGGAGCTCGGTTGCCAAGTCTTAGAGTTTTGTTTTGTATTTCTGTTTCCCGCTCAGCTTTTCTTACTCTCGGTCTGATGATGTATACTGCTAAACTATACACTCCGCAGTGCCCTGTCTTGGGTGGTTCAGTATTGTGCCATGACATGTTTTTGTTTAATAATGTACAGACACAAAAGGCAGGATTTCTGTATTAGGAAGCACTGTGCATTCAACAGTATAGGTAACAGAAATAGAAGCACCACAAATGTATAAAAAAGAGAACTTCTTACCTCATTGTTTTTGTTTTCTGCTATTATTTTCTAATGGTGGCAATGTGTGCCCTCTAATTTGTCTCTTGGCTTGATCGGATGTCTACACATAAAGCCTATGATCATAGGAAATTATTTATCACTGAATAAAAAGAGAAAAAAATGGGTGTGCGTGACTCTGACACAGTCCGAATGGTTTATTGTGCTTATTTAAAGTGGTGTGACGTATCTAACATGCAGCTGAGATGATAAACAAAACAGAGCAGATCGTTTAATGAGAGAAATTCTCCTTAGGGTACTAACCTTTTGAAATCAGCATTTCACTTCACTGCAGGATGTGGCTCAAAAGTCCCCCCACTCCTACTTCATTAAGTCTGGAAAAAAACAGACACAAACCTGCTGTGATCCAAGGGCAGCCACCGAGGATGCGTCAGTGAATGTCGGTGTTTTCAGAGTACATTTTCTAAATGCTCGACAGCTCCTAGTCGAGAACAGTGTTGATGAACTATTGAGGTAGAATTTCCCTCTGGATGTTTTTCTTTAACATTGTCAACTCATCTAGCAGTGACCTTGAAATCTATTTTTAGACTGGGCTAAATGGACTACAGCAATTTTGAGGCTTTTATTTTGTACATTAAACATTTTCCTTCAGAATAATAATTTATGCTTGGTTTCAAATATAACTGATAACATGCATCACCTCCATGGATGACAGAAGTAGGATAAAAGCGTCATTTTTTTACTTTGACATCTGAGCTAAAAACTTGCTCGGAGTACGTGCAGTGTTTGTACCCTTTTATATTGACCTTGCTAGATTGCCTAAGTAATTTGATTTGTGATTGTGATGTGAAAAAAATTGACGTAATCTATCATAACATTGCTTGTGGAAGCTTCTGGCATTGCTTTTCATTGCTGATAAGCCAGACCTTAACTTTCAAAAGGTCAGTTTTTCAGGAAACTGTAAAAGAACAGTTCAACATTTTGGGAATATGTTTCATTAATTTTCTTGTTTTTGTTTGTTTGTTTGTTTGTTTTGTTATTTATAATAGCATGTAAGGATTTATTCTGAAATGTGTGTTTCACACCAATAATTGTAACATATATGAAGAAACTTTAAATGCTGGAAGAAATTTTGATTGGTTAATATTAATGCAGCCACTTTAATTACCCAGCTTATTGGACAAAACAAGGCAGTAAAATAATTTTCTTTTTGTCACCATGAGGAAGTAATAGTCAGGCACACAACATCCCTTAAAACCACAATGTGTAGTTTTTACACTGCTTTTTGTATATATTAAACAAACAAGATGTAACATCAGAATTAGTGAGTTTTAAAGGTTGATATGCAGGCTAGCTGTTTCACCCGTTTTCAGTCTTTATGCTAAGCTAACTGGCTGCTGCATGTAGCTTTATATTTACAATACAGACATGTGAGAAGAGAATCAAGAAAGAATCAAACAAGCATGCATTTCCCAAAATGTTAAACTGTTCCTTTTTTGGCTTATGAAACATGAAAACATTTAAAGTTCTTAGTTGTTCTCTGCAAAAGCTTCACTTACACAAGCACAGAGATACAAGGACAGCTTTCAATTCTCAGTACAAATCCACCACAAAAACATCTATTTATTAATTTATTTATGTATTCACTTGGACGAGTCCGTTTCATTTATTTGTCATTTTCTCACTGTCGGTGTGCAGCTGAAGATAAGACAGCACTACTCCTCTCGGGATGACACCTCCATTAGCCTCACAGCGACCTGCAGTGTGGACTTGAGCATGACTGGTGTTTCCATTTAGGATTTCAGAGGGTCACAGTATTTCAGTTCACATCAGTCCAACCAGCACTCTGCTCTCTGAACATGGCTGTGGGACTTTAGCAGAACCACGGGAAAAATGCACTGATGAATATTTGATCTTAACTGTCACACAAAGGCTCCCTACATATATGACAGCCTTTACAGACTGACTTGTATTATGTAATTCTGACACAATCACAGTACAACTTTCTATTGCAACCTAACCAACAGAAATCCACGATAATGAACAACACATATATGCTCAAACACAACGGCTTCCTTCTATTACTGCAGTTTGGATTCTCTAAAGGGGTCCTGAGATTAATGTAAGATGTCCTTAGATGAAAGTCTTCCCTGGTCGGAGTCAGTGAACAAGTGAGATGCGTTCTTCTCCTGCGTTTAGTTTCTTTACCCACAAAAAAAAAGAAAAAAGAAAATATCAAGCAA